TGATAGGAAAGAGTGAAATGTAGACCAATATTGGAACTGAAGGGTGGATGACATCCTGACAGCCTGTTAAGCAGGTTGAGCTGGGATATGGTGGAGTTGATGCAAAGAGGTGGATAGAGAGAGAAAAAGAAGAATTGAGGTCTTTAAAAAATGGCATCAATTCAGGAGAAGCTGAGGGGACAGGTGAATTGCAGGAGGGGAGGCAAGGCCGTCTGGTGCTGTTGTGGCTCAGAGTTCACTGCAAGAAAGGCAGGAAGGGCTGAGTAGGAGTGGGGCTGGGGGGAGCCTAGGTGGTGAAGGGCACTGTTAGCAGCCAGTGGGGGATGCGCTGAGAAATGGAAGAAGCTACAGAAATAGAAGAAGGAACAGGAATTAGAGAACTGCTGCAACTCGTACAGAAGCTTTGTGGGTCATGAGAGCCTCAGAGACCGAGGGAGGTGGTTGAGGTTTTAATTGCCTTGGGATCTTATTTATCATCAAAGGACGTGGTTTCTACTAAAGTAAACTTTGGAAATATCCAGAAAAATTAAACTAAATTGGGAAATTGAACTGTACTCTACACTCTCCAGTCCTGCCCACTCTCTTTTTTTAAAAAAATTATGTGTTTTAGTGTTTGGCCTGCATGTAAGTGTACCATGAGCATGCAATGCCCTTGGAGGCCAGAAGGGGGCTGTATGAGTTGTTTTGCTTGCATGTATGGAGGTGCACCTGTGCATGCAATGCTCACAGACGCCAGGAGAGAGCGTCTGATCCCTTAGAACTTGAATTACAGATGGTTGTTAACCACCATATGGGTGCTGGGAACCTAACTATGGTCTTCTGGAAGATCAGCCAGTGCTCTTAACTGCTAGGCTATCTTTCCAGCAGCCCTGCCCACTCCTCTTTTTAAATAAGGCCAGGAGAGTCCTTACATTTAGTCTGAATGTGGTAGTGGATTTTTGACCCAGAATCAATGCCAGCCCAACTATGGTGAGTGCTGGCTAGAACAGCAGCTGTGATGAGGAATCTAAGGCCAGTGAGCTGTGCTATCTCAGTGAAAGAGGCCTGGTGTCTTTCCCACCAGTTTGGAGAAAGAAAGCACATGTGCTGTGTATCTGCCATTATTAATCCAAAATCTTCATTTATTTCTGTAAATACTTAAAGATGTTTTGGAGAGGTTTACAGGACTTTCCTAAGCTCATATAGATCACAAAAATTCAAGTTCAAAGTGAACTTAGGGTTGTTTGTTCAAGCGGGGTCTCATGTATCCCAGGCTGACTTCAAACTTATTACACAGATGAAGACAACCTTCAACTTCTGTTCTTCCTGCCTGTATCTCATGAGTGCTAGGATTACAGATGTTTACCACCAAACCACTGATGCAGTCCTGGAGATCAATTCCAGGCCTTTGCAGTGTGTGATATGCTTGTGTGATACATGTTTGTGTGTATTTAAATGGAAGAAATGGAGAGGAACTGATCCTTTTTCTTCATCTTCTAAACCTGTGGGGTGTGGGGAATGGGCACTGGGAAGTCACCTCAATCCTTCCTCACAGATCCAAAGGGCCCCTGGGCAGCCAACTTCTGACTGCTTTTAATTCCTTAAGTCTCAAAAACACAGCTCTGGAAGACATAGCGTCCTATTTATATGGCATATACTGAATAAATGCTGAATTCATTCATTCATTCATTTATATTTTGTGTATGAGTGTATTGCCTGCATGTATATGAGTGCATGTGTCATACAATGTCCGTGGAGGTCAGAAGAGGGCATCAGATCCCCTGGAACTGGAGTTACAGACAGTTGTTAAGCTGTCATGTGGGTGCTGGGAATCCAGCTTCTGCAAGAGCAGCCAGTGCTCTTAACCACTCCAGCCCCTGTAAACACTGAATTTACCAAAACAGTTTTTTTTCTAGATGTCAACACTTGGCTTGGCCACATTTTACAGGAAAGGAACAAGAAGCCACATTGCTGGTTCTTCTCATATGTAGAAACTTAAAAAAATGTTGACCTGAAAGTGGAATAAGGACTACTAGAGCCTGGGGG